GCAGTAACAAAAGACCCTCTCTATTTATGATGGTAACAAGGAAGCCTGACAAAAAGACTGAGAGAAAAATGGCAGACATTATTGGAACAGTGGGTTTGACCGATGGCTAATAAACATCTGCTCAGCATATGGAGTCATTGAAGAATCAATATATGAAATTTGTGACCTCATTTTTGTTACATGTAAAATCTTTGCAGGAAAGAGAGAGAGAAAAAAAAAGTGTTTTATAACAGATTTTTCTAATAAAAACAAAATATTCCATAACAAGTAGACTTTGACCAATCCAACACCAGCAAAAAAAAAAAAAAAAAAAAAAAAAAAATAAACAAAGAAAGAATGTGTAAACATCACACAGTATCTGTTGGAAGTTAATCTTATATAGACTGTACACATTGAAACATAAGGTTTATATTACTCAGTGTTTTTTGGAGAATATATGTGGGTCTAGTGGTATGATTCTATGGAGAAAGACCATATTTTGTTTTTAATTATTTGATAGAATTTTGTAAATATTTCATTATCCTTGTTTATAGTTGTAGGTTTTTTTTTATAAAGTTTTCTCTGCTCAGACATATAGCACAAAAAAATGACAATGTTACGAACATAATAAAACCTATGAAAAAACAAAACAAAAAGCAACTCCAACAATTAGAAATAAAGATCTTCAAATATTTACAAAATCCTATAAAAAATTAATTAAAAACAATATGGTCATCCTTCATAGAATATCGCCCCACCAGAACCACATTATATGGTCTAATAAAAATACATAAAATTAATATTCCAATTCAACCATTTTTCACTTTATGAGATAATCTCCAAATTCTTCTTAGATTAGTGTTTCTCAATTTTTTTTTTTTTTTTTTAATTTCAGGGCACCCTTGTAGACCAACTAAAACTCTGGTGTGCACTTTAAATTTTAACAAAGAAAAATTAATCATGAAATTTGAAACTAGGAAAATAATAAAGAAGTCTCCTGAAATGAGTATTTACTTTTTAAGACATTTTATATTTAAGCAGTACAGTTTTAATTTAAAGGAATTTATGAAGAATCTGCTATTTTTTTTTTTTTTTTTTTAGAGAAGTTGATGATAAATTTAAATCCTTTGAGGAAGGCAAAAGGGAAAGGATTATCCACTCCTTAAAAGTTAAGGAATTTAGCATCCAGTTTAAAATATCAAATGACAAAGATTTGACTTAGACATGGAAATCATGTGCTTGGTGTCTGTAGCTTTTTAAAAAATAAAGATTTTTTTTTTTTTAAATATAAAAATAATTAATTACTCTTCTGTTAACTTGGGGTGCATCTGGTTACCTTTCAGGGTGGCTTAACCTGGATTAACCTTTAGCACTCTGTAGGTGACTATTTTCACCAAGCAAAATGTTAGTCTTACCAATGCAAGTTAAATTTGAATTTTTTGGTTGTGTCATATGCTTCCATGTCAAAACCTAAAACAATCTTGACTGAAATTGAAATCCAGGCTACTGCAATTTCAAATATATAGAACTAATTTATAAAAAGCTATAGTCTGTGGGGATTCCATATACAGTAAAAGGGGAAGTAATATTTATAAATGATGCAGAGTGCTAGGTGTTAAAGAGTAAATGTAGGTTTACGGTAAAAAAAAAAAATTATATATATATATATATATATATATTTGGTGCAAGCTTAGTTTTTTTTTTGGTCTTTGTTTTTTTTTTGTTTTTTTTTTTACTGAAGGTGCAGAAATTTCAATGCCCACTAAAAAAAAAAAGTCCCATTTATAATACAATGTACTACAGCTACAAACTCATGTTTACTTTTTATGATTTAGTTGTATAGTACTAATTACCATGAAAAAGTCGAAGAGTCTGACACGACGATGATATTGTTATAAAAAACAAGTTAACCCTTTCTCTACAATAGCAATTGGGGTAAGGATACATTGGTTCATATTTAATCTTTGTTTTCTCAAATCAAACATGAAGCATCACCTTCAGTTTGTTTACTAGCAACAGTGAAAAGTATTTTTTGCTAAACCAAATGGAGAAATCCTTCCTGGTTAATATATAAAAATTATAAACATATAAAAGTGGAGCAAGAAGTCAATGGAAAGTGAGAAAATTTTGAAACTAATTTCTAACTACAACCAAGAGAAATGTCAGATTATAAATAAAAAATCCATTAATTCCTTAGAAATTACTTTGCTTATATTTCAGATACAAAAATAAAGTTAGCAAATAAGGGTTTTTGAAATATCTTAGAGAGAGAGAGAGAGAGAGAGAGAGATGTATTTTCTTTCATTAGGGAAACTGAACCTTACTTTGCTATAAAAGTTCTTTGTGGCTGAGCAGTCTAAAAAACATGTCAAGCCATGTGGTCTCCCTATCTCCTGAAAAACCCATGCCAGTAGATGACAATTATACTGTACACAAAAAACAGATGTCTACTCAAACATGTGAATCAATTATATATATATATATATATATATATATATATATATATATATATATATATATATATATATATATATATATTTCACACACACTACAGTTCAAAAGTTTGAGGAAACCCAGAATTGCCGTGGGTTGAACTTGACAGAAGAGTGAGAAAAAAAATATGAAAAAGACCTCTTAGAGTCATTGAAAAAAGAATGCAATCAATTATCAAACTTATACTTTGAGAAACTTTTGCAAAAACAATTTGTGCTGCAGTAATCAAGGCTAAAGGAGACTATTTTGACAAGAGCAAAATTTAATCATAAAATGCTTTTTTGTGTCATAATAAAAAAAATCATGTCTCACTTTTTTAAAACCATGTATAATACTTTTCTCTTATTTAAAGTACAAAACAACCACTTTTTGGCTCAATTTAAAAAATTACCAGGGGTGAACCAGAATTATGAACTTTTGGACTGTAGAGTGCGTGTTATTTATATATATATATATATATATATATAAGAAAGAGAGAAGACATAGAACTCAACACTTCAATGTGAACTTCAGATTGAGAATTGATCCAAAGATTGCATTGAAGCATGCAACTGATAGCTACCATGTAATGTTGATTCTCATGTCTACATTCTGTATCTATAAACTATCTTCAATATTGAGCATTCTTCTATAAACATATAGACATAGTAAATTTTAATATGTGTGTGTGTTAGTGTATATAAATGTATAAATATACATATTACCTCTCACTGGTAGCATAACAAAACCAACATGCAAAACAAACTTCAGGTGATGAGTATAGACTGGCTGTTACATATATATGTCATATATTATACAAGGATTAGTTTTTTTCATTTAAAAAAATATATTAGACATTTAAAATAAACAGGATATATATATATATATATATATATATATAAATTATTTTAGTTGTGAATATTAATTTTCTTATATTAAGCATAAAGGGAGATTACTGGGTTTTTTTTTAAAAAAAAAGAAAAAAATCTACATTAAATATTAATCTGGATCAACATATTTGAATAGATATTTACTTTTATGCCTACATGTAACAATCAATTCTCTTGTTTAAAAAGCTAGGGTTATTTAAGTGTTTTAAGATAACTAATTTTTCAACACGACATAAATTACATCAAGTGCCTTTCCCCATTGTAATAATTAGCTTTAGCTATAATATCCCATGTGTTACCAGTGAGGAATGATATGTATATTTATTAATACATACTTAATAGCTCTATTTTGTTACAACAGGCACAGTTTTATTAACACTAGCACTACATGTGCATTATATATTTATAAATATACATATTATTCCTCACCAGTAGCACAACTCAGGGTTTCATAAATGCAGTCTTCAGGTGCTGCATATAAAATAGTGGTTGATATAACAGAGCTATTAAGTATATATTAATAAATATACATATTAGTCTTCACCAGTGTGTGTGTGTGTGTATATATATATATATATATATATACACACATTACATCAAGCGCTATTTTATACCAGTGAGGAATAATATTTATATTTATTAATATATACTTAATAGCTCGTTTATATTATATAGAGTCCTATTTTATTAACACCAGCACTCAATGTGAGATATCTTATATTTGTGTGTGTTTTACATAGACAAACATACACACACGCATTATATAATGTATAATATGTATGGTTTGGCACAAGGCTACAACAGTGGAGCATCCAATGAAGACCAATCTTGTTATACTAGTGAGTGGTTTGCGGTTACCTTATAGCAAGCAGATCAGAGCTGATATAAATGTCAATGTCTATACAAGGACACAAGAGAATAAGACAATTATTTAAATCATGCTGCCTTTTCCATAGCTCTGAATCATTTCAAAACTAATTATGGTGTGATCTACATCAGCATCATCATTTTATGCACTGTAAACTGATTCCTCTTTGACTAAGCTCTGAGTATAAATCTTGAATAATACTTTCCTTTTCTACTTATTTTATATGCTATTATTTCATCATAGTTGGAATGGTTACTTTAATCTGGATGCAGACAATTGCTAGATAGAATCAGCATAGCCTCTTATTTTGTTAATTTGGAATTGATTGAAATTTTCAAATTATTGAATCTGAAGCACAAAAAAAACAAAAAACAAAAAAAAAACAAATTTGTCTTACATAAAAACCAAAGAGACAAAAGTTTTTCTAATTCTGTTATTGTCCCATCCCTAAACAAAAAACTATTTAACTGTAAAACTGTATTTAAGTCATGCTTACTGAGGGTCTCAAGAACTAAAAGAAAAATATCTGTGCAAATTTAGATTTTTTTGTTTTCTACAGCTTATCAATCCTTTGCAGGTTATTTAAAACCAGGAAATATTTTTAGATTGTAAGAATTTCTTTTTTTGACATAATGGTTTAGTAATAGCTGGGAGAGGAGAAGAGATGGATTCATACCTTTCCCAAATGTATTTGCACATAGGTGAATATAACAAACCCAACATGAATTGGAACCCGGCTCTCCGATTAACAATTCAGAGCCAGTATCCATTATACCAACTGTGCATCCAAGCTTACAGCAGCTGGTATTCCCAAGTGGTTACCCATCTAGATACTGACCAGGCACAATATTGCTTAACTTTGGTGATTGTATGAGGAACTGGTGTTTTCAACATGATGTGGCAGTAAGCAAATGTTGGATCAAAGGTTTAATAGACTTGAGCATCATAATTTTAGCCTGGTCCTCAGAAGCTTTTTGAATCTATACATTAACAAAAACAAAAAAAAATATCCAAATTTAATCTCCTGGAAATTTAAAAGGTAGGAGGTTTAAAAAGAAAAAAAAAATGTGAATAGGTCACCATTTTGCTGACTCTGGACATGAGACCCAACCAAAGCCCTGATGCGTACTTGAGAGAACAGCATTGCAAGTGAAATTAGGAATCACTAATGGCCAGTAATGACATCCCAAATTTCCAGGAACCAGTTCTATAAAGGCAGATAATCTTTAGGAATCTATACTTTTTATTTTATTTTCAATCTGAGAATGGAAACAAACCACTTTATAGTATTAAAAAGAATTAAAGCATTTTGATAATAGAAAACATTTATTTATTAAGATATTTTTAGATTGAAATTCTATTCTCATTATATTTCTGTTCAGAAGTATGATGCTTTTTGACTCTAGTGTCATCAATAGTGTTATGGTTTCTTAGCCTCATTCAAACTGAATCGATGCAGTCCCAATGGAAGACCTATCAAATTTATGACAAGATTTGCCATATTTTTAACTTCAAGACAATTTCTTTTATCAGAATAAATTATGTTCATCACAGAAAATCCTCTTCCAGCTTCTGCAGAACTTACAGCAATGGCATTGATTATATTTTTAGCTATTATATATTGGCTATTCATATATAAGATTATTTTCGGATAATCCAATAACCAGTTCACTAAGGTTTTATCATTTTAAGAATCGGTTTGTGCAAACCAGTAGGATGCCACCACTGCTAACGAAGCATAGCAGTTTGCTTAACTAAAATAATATGTATATTTTTACTTGGAGCTTATTAAGTAAAGCGATCTGCCAAATCATTAAACTATTTAAAAAGAAAAAAAAGTTTACTCTACCTTTTAACTTTAAATCACTGAATAAAAAAAAAAAAATCTACTCATATTTTTGGTGCTTATGTTAGATCAATTACAATTGAAAAGTGCCCCAAAACTTTTGGCCTTGTGCTATGCTTAGAAAATCACCATATTTTTGGTGTTGTACAGTGCTTGGTTCTAAAAAGCAAATTAATAGGACAGAACTAATGACTGATATCAGTGACTTGGATTTAGTGAACATGCACAGTAGATCCACTGGAACATGGAGCTTAGATGATTTTATTTTTGCAAAAACAGAACCAAGAGAAATAAACACTGATACTTTTCTGCCACTTGATGAAGATTGGAGATTACCCATCAAAAATTAGATCATAAATTTATTTCATAATTGGATTAGTATAGAGTCTAAATAAATATCCTTCCAGAATGATACTGTTAAAACACATACACACATTTACAGGCTTTAGTTGACATTTACTGGTCAAAATTGGTATCACTCCACTTGATATTTCCAACACTTCACTGAGAATACAGAGGTTAGTGGCTGACTTTTCAAGATCATAGAGTTCAATTATTTTTTTTTATAAATTGGGACCACAACTTAGAATGAAGAATCCAAGCACTAGAAGAACCCTCCCAAGTATCTCCTATGTTGACAACGTCACAAATGATGCAGTGTAAGACACCATCAAACAAATCACATGACAACCATCAAAAAGAGAAAGTTGAAATGGTGTGGCCACATGACAAGAGCCAACAATCTTTCCACTGCCATCATACGGGGTACCACCTTAGTGGCAAAAGAAAAGGAGGCAGACAGAGGGGAAAAAATGGGCTGATAATGTCACTCATCACAGAGACTCAGTTGGTCAGATGCTCAACAACCCTACTACCACACTTGGTCATTGATAATAATGATAAACATAGAAAATCTCAAAATCTGCCATAAACAAAGAATAGGAAATATATTATCTTTTGAGATTAGCAAAAAAAAAATAAATAAATAAAAATAAATAAATTCAGTTTTTTTAAAGCCATATAAACAAAGTTGGATGGCCCAATTCCTACAAGAAAAAGATTAAACGTATATTATCTTAAAAATAATCATGGCAAAGAAAGTTTTTTTTTAGCTGCCATTATAAAAATGTTTTTCATTTGATTTTTGATATTTGCTTTTCATGACCTTGAAAAGTCCATAGATCCTGTCAAAAATTTCAGAAAAGAATTTTTTTTTATTAGGAGTAAAAACCAAGAAATAACAAACAAACAAAAAAAAAAAAAAAAAAGAAACACTTGTTCTTTGATTTTTATCAAAAGAGGGACACAGAGGCCAATTCTTGGCCAATGGCTGCACAAATATAACTCAATTTTCCTTATTCTCCCCACTTTTCAAAACAATTTTAATTACACAGCAGTTGACAAATCAAATTGTCTCTTTTTTTTTATTCCTATTAAATCATTCAATTAGATTGAATGTCTTTTCCTTTAATACATTTTTTTTTATAATACATCTTTGATGAAAAATTAAAATGTTAGTATATGGAAAGGCAGATTTCATCAGTTTTGGGATGTTTTTCACCAGGAACCTGAAAACAGAGTTGTGACAAGAAAACAAATTTGCATTATCACCCACTAAAATTCTGTATTAGTCGTAACATTTTAACAGAGATGCCAGAACTGGCACATCACCCACACCCCTTGCCACACCTCATTTACAAACAAAATTTGATCCCAATCTCTAAATTCATATATTCATGTAATGGGGAACCTCAGAAGGGTCTCGAGGAGTCAAGTCATCATCACCATGCTCCTCAGTTTGTATTTCAACCATCTGTTGTAGCGGTTGATGATCGAGGTCATCTTCAGGAAGAAGATGAGGTTCATGCACAACAATCAAGGTTTCCTGATGAGGGTGGTGGTGATGTATTTCTTGATGATGCTGCAGTTCCTCTTGCTGCTGCTGTTCTTGTTGCAGCTGCTGCTGTTCTTGTTGCAGCTGCTGCTGCAGTTCCTGCTGTTCTTGTTGCAGCTGCTGCAGTTCCTGCTGTTCTTGTTGCAGCTGAAGTTCCTGCTGCTGCTGTCGCTCTTGTTCCAGTTCCTGCTGTTCTTGTTGCAGTTGAAGTTCCTGCTGTTGTTGCTCTTGTTGCAGAAGTTCCTGCTGGTGTTGTTCTTGTTGTAACTGCTGTTGAATTTCCTGCTGTTGCTGCTCTTGTTGCAGTTGCTGTTGTAATTCCTGCTGCTGCTGCTCTTGTTGCAGCTGAAGCTCCTGCTGCTGCTGTTCTTGTTGTAGTTGCTGCTCATCATGTGACAGTGGCTGCAGCGAGAGATGATTTGGTAATGCATTTTGTGGAATGCAACTCAGTTTACCATTACCCTTGTTATCTCGCTGGTGCCGAACCAGGTGGTCCTTCCGGGTGAATGCAAACCCACACAGCTCACATTTGAATGGACGCTCACCAGTGTGCGTCCGCTTGTGAACTGTCATGTGGTATTTCTGCACAAATGCCTTGCTACAGATGTCACAAACAAATGGCTTCTCTTGTGTATGTACCCGCTTGTGGCGCTCCAAGTGATTGACGCTTGAAAAAGCCTTACCACATGTCTCACAAACATGAGGCATCAAAGCAGCATGTATCATCTCGTGCATACCAGCATCTGACTTCTCTGTGAAGGCCTTCAGACACTCTTTGCAGTTCAGGGGATTCTCAGGATGTGAGCGCATGTGCCGAGTGAGATCGCCATTTCGAGAGAAGGAACGATTACAGAGGCTGCAGATATATGGCCGATCACTGTGAAGTTGCTGTTGTTGCTGCTGGATTAATGGCTGGGTCTGCAACTGTTGGGTGGGTACCGGCTGACTGATAATACTACCAGCACCATTGCTTTGTGGCAAAAATATCTTTGTATCTTCATGTTGCTGTAGTAATCCTTTATGCTTTTTCATATGTTTTGTAAGCTCACTATTGATGGAGAAAACAGAACCACAGAGGTTACATTTAAATGGTTTTTCATGTGCAATAGTCACTGAGGCGGGAGTCGCCGGAGGCAAAGGCAGGGTCACAGTCATTGACTCTGCAGGCTGAGAAAGGCTTTCTTCATGGTTTTTCATGTGGCGTGTCAAGTCACAATTTCTAGAAAATGCCCGACCACACAGATTACATTTAAAGGGCTTTTCTCGTTGATAGAGTACTGCAGGTTCATACAAAGTGACAGAGTTTTCGTGTGTTTTCATGTGTCTGGTCAGGTTCACGTTTTGTGAGAACCCAAATCCACAGATGCTACACTTGAATGGTTTGATACCAGTGTGAATAGACTGATGGCGCTTGAGGTGGGTCTTCCGAGAAAAGGCTCGCCCGCAAGCTTCACAGACAAATGGTTTCACAGCCTGATGGGTTAGCTTGTGTCTCTCCAAGTTGTCGTAGCGAGAAAATCCTCTCCCACATGTGTCACATATATGTAAGCTTGTCTTAGGTAACTGAGAGACAGTTTCGGTCAATTCATATGGGGGTAGAGCAGTGGTGGTAGTTAGGGTTGTGTTGGCTGATGTTAATATATGCTCCATTATATGCTGAAAATCAAAAGAAATTTTTTTTATTTTTATATTTTTGTTCAATGTCACTAGGGGAAGTTTCAATGGTAAGTGGAGAGCAGATAATTTTTTTTTCAGATCCTAGCTTAAAGTGAGTGAGAATTAACTCACCAGATAAGAATGTTGTTTTTTTTTTTTTCAAAATGAAAAGAATGGGTTACTTTGAATAGCACCAACCTGGAAGGCCGAAATGCCAGACCTTTGCTGTGATTTGGTTAGGATTAAAAATTCACAGCTTCACTTATAAACAAAAAGAGGAAAGAAAGCTCTGATCCTGAATCCAACAGCATTGATCAAGAGCTAAAAAGTAATGTTTCTTATAGTAATATAATTCAGATAGATGTAAGGCAAAGAAAATAATTAAGTCTCTTTTCTTATTTCTTTCATTCCTTGAAGAGGAAGGGAGGAAAAAACCTGAAAATTAGAAAACAAAAATGGGAAAATGTTTTTAAAATTAAAAACAAGAGTAAAATATTTCTTTGTCAAGTCTAACACTACATTCTATTATGTGAAAGACTATACTGCATTTATTTTACATAATGACAAAGTTAGTTTTGTTTTTATTTTTTTTTATCATTTTCTTGTTTTCATACAAGGTTGGGTTTCAGTGCGTGTAAAAATTGGCCATGCATCTATGTTTGAACACATTCAAAGCATCATAGGTTATTTTCAAGAATAGAATATGCTACGGTTATGAAAGTCAAGAGATACTGATTTTCTCAATGTTTTTCCTCTGATTATAGTGCTTGGTGTAAACAGGATTTAAAATGTTCCAAATGATAAGATGAAATTAAGCAAAATATTATAAATTTTTTTCTTGAATTTTAAAACCATAATGTTCTTGAAAATAAGTAATAAAGGTCGAAAGCATTCAAGCATATGCAGAGACAATGTTTTTTAACACATGCACAAGAATCAAAAATAGGATGAAAAAACCCTACTTCATCTGTGTTTTTTAAATAAAGCCTGTCCAAGTAATTTCATGTAGTATACATTTGAAGGAGTGTTGAAAAAGTTCTTGACTAAACCAAGAAACTATTAAGGGAAAAAAAAAAAATAAACCATACATGAACATATTTTAGAGAATGGATAGGTCCAGAAACTTTTCAGCACCCACTATATAATTATGTGTGTTTGTAGGATATATAATAGCATCCAAAACAAAAGTGAAGAGGATGAGACAAAGTAGAAAATTTTATTAAAGTCGCATTTCACTGGAGAAGGTATGCTCTCTTGAGATCTCTGAAGATAAGTGGGTATCATAAATCAAATTACTTACTCCAGCTTATCAAAGTCTAGACATGGAAAGTGTCTGTTCACCGCTGTGTTTGTTTATCTATATCAGAGCGATTTGGTATTGTAGGAATTTAAATCAGGGATTTTTCTTTTTATTATACCCACTTATCTTCAGAGATCAAAAGTCATTTTCTTCACACACAGTTTTGATTTTCTTTCATTTTAAACCAAGGAAGCCAAAGAGAGCATACGCTTCTCTGGCAAAACACGTCTTTAATAAAATTTTTCACTTTGTCTCATCATCTTCACATATATAATTATCAATTCATCATATCACTACATGAATTTCATTATCTCTGAACGTATTGATTATCAGTTGACTGCATAGCACCAGTTAAAATGCATGCACACAGACTATATGCAATTTCTCTCTCTCTCTCTCTCTATATATATATATATATATATATATATATATATATATATATATATATGCTTTGTTAAACAAGTCTGACAAGGTATTTTTATTTTTTTTTGTATGCAAACAAGCATTTTTTTTTGTAGACTTAATGAGTGTAGAAATTGTCTAAATGTTTGTTGATTCCAACAACTTTCAGCTAATATGGTTTTGTTGATGCCATTTGTTATAAAAAAAAATTTTTTTTTTCATGAAATTGCAGTGTTGGCTTTCATGTTAACTGCCAGGTCAAGTAATTTAAGAGTTGTGTGTATATAACACACACACATTTTTTTAATCCTTTCACCCCAAACAGAAGTTTTTTTGCCTGCAGATTTTTTTTTATTTTGCCAGCAAATTTTGTCTGTTGCATCTGAAGTCTGTTGGTGGAGGGGGTGCATAGATGAAAGGTTTGTCTATATTAAATTCAACCAGTTGAGGCAATAAGGAGAACAGCTCATCAGAATAACTGTCATGAAAATATATGTAGAAAAGATAGAGAGAAGCCATGTCATGTCAGTGGGGAAGTGACTGAAGTTGAGAAGCCAGATCAGGATCATTTACATTGCATACCCTTCTTTAGATTTTGTCAAGAATATGGAGACATATAGTAGAAGTACCAGACAATGCATAGATGGATGCTAGATTTATAAATGGGCATGATGGATTCCAATGGGAAACATTTTCTGGCACAACATAGTGAACCGACTATCCTTGCAATAGATGAAGCAATTGATTCGATACACTCACTCCACTTCATGTCAGTAGAAAACACGAGGCCAAGAAGATGCAAAGTGCTACTCTCCTAGATTTTAGCTTCACCCATGCTGATAGCAGGCAGAAAAGGTTCTCTGTAGTGATTAAATGAAAACAGCTTTTGGAGTTGTTAAAATTTACTATATATATATATATATATATATATATATATATATATATATATATATATATATATATATATATATCTATCTGTGTGTGTGTGTGTAGGACATACAAGATATAAAATAGCAACTTTGAAGTGATTTTATTAATATTTGTGGATATTTCCTTTATGTATTTCCGATGTTGCTGTTTTATATCTTGTATATTTAACACACAAGATATTTACTATATATGAAAGAGAGAGGGATGTGTATAAGATATAAGTGATATAGACAGCAACACTGAAAATATACGAAGTAAAAAAAAAAAAAAATACTGGAGAATACCAACCAGGACATAACAATAAAAAAAAAAAAAAAAAAACCAACCATATCAATTATAAACATATTTGGGAATTCATAATATGACAAACTTTTCAGAAAATCTTAAACATCTACAATAGCAAATATGCATCATTTATATTATAGTAACTATAAGTAAGATCTTAGAAAATGGATAATAGATAAGCAAAGAAGCACTCAGAATCAACAAACATTTGAACACAGACATACTTTATAACCACATTAAGTCGACAAAAGAAAACACTTATTGGCATACACATACAAGAATAAAAACTTTTAAAAAGTACTTTGACAGTCTTGTTTAACAAATTATGTATTAAAGAGACATTGCTGCCAATATATATCTCAGTTGTATATTATAGAAATATATACACACATGTCTTAGATATAAACAAAAAATTTTCAATTCAAATATTAAGTTCATTGAATGTAATAAATAGTACAGAAGTGAAAGACGTCTTTCCTTAGTCTTTTCTTAAATTTTGGTAAATCATCTATTTTTTACAATATTTCTTTTGTTCATATTCTCAGACACTGATATAATCAAACAAAAATATAAAAAAAAAAAAAACTTTAAAAATCAACTGTCGGTTATTAATATTTTTGCAAACTAAAGGAAGAATATTCTTAAAATTAAAATTCTATTAAGCTAATAGAAAATGCTGTTTTCTTGTAGAAATTTGAAGTTATTGAAAATAAAAGAAATGTTTTGTTTATTTTACAACTCATTTGCAAAATATTAATTTATCTGATGTCAGATCATGCTTGATATTTAGCATTATTAGTCTACAACTACAGGAATTAAATACCATTTTTCTTTCTTTGCTATGTAACTTACAACTTTAAAAAAAATTAATAAAATTATTTCATTGCCTGCTATAAACAAGATAAAACAGTTATCATTTTTTAAAATTTTATCTGCTTAATTACACAATATTATCTAGCAATCTGTAGAAGAAAATTTTTTCAAAATATCTCGTATTTTTGTAAGAGAATAAATATTTTTTGCAAAAGCAATCAAAGGTTGAAAAAAAATAAAAAAATAAAGCATTTTTGTAGAAATTTTTAAAATATTGAGAATAAACCCTTGCATTTTATTTTTACACTATTTATATTCGGACCATTGTCCTCATCTTTGTTGTTTTCATCACAATGTTTTGGCCGTGTGCCCTCCGGCCTTCCTCAGGTGTATATCGATCTACTAGTTCTTTAACCTACAGGGAATTCCGAACTGAACCCTTTCTACGGGAGTAGACTGTTCTGATTCGACTGTCTAGGGATATTTAGTTCTTATTTTATAATGGCCTAGTGAATAAAAGCATTAGTTTGTGAATTTGGGGACATAGTGGTTGTGAGTTCAATCCCTGGGTTGGGCAGTGTGTACTTGCATTCAGTGGAAATAGGTGAGCAATAACTGAACAGTGCTAAATAAAGTAAGAACTAGAGACGATACCTCTAGACATGAGCAGTGGAACAGGACTAGTTTACTCCCATAAAGGGTTCAGTTCGGAATTCTCTGTTACCCAGATTGATACATCTGAGGAAGGCTGAAGGCGCAATGGTTGAAATGTTGTGATAAGAAACAAACTTTTTACTGAAGTATTCTATAGTGTTTAAAAAAAAAAAAAAAATTTAAAAAAATCACAAATTCCATAGAACTGTTGCTAAAAGTAAATAAAGTTTCTGGTTTTTTAAATATTTTAGCAAAGCAAGCAAAATGAATTAATAAAAAAATAAATAATCCAGCTGTTTCAAGTTTAATTTTACATTGGATGGTTTCAAACTAAAAAGGATTTTCAAATATTAAAGATGTGTCGATTATTGATTTTAAAAAGTTAGATTCAGTCAACTTAGAAAACAAAAATAAGCAATAAATCCATAATAATCACAATCAATATATTTTAAATTTTAGTTTTTAACATCTTTACTTTCTGGTTGGTTCTGAGGAAAATAGTGTGCTTTTACTAAAATTTAAAAAAAAAAAAAAAAATTGTCAAAACAATGAAAAACTAAATCTTATTTTTTTTTTTTATTTTTTTTTTTAAAGCAACATTTTCATTTGTCGTTTTTCTAATTTTTTCCATCTTATGTTCAAGTTCAACCAAGCTAAATTTTTTAAAAGTTGATTGTTAACTATTCTAAGGAAAGACGAAACAATTTTTTTTTACACACACAAATAATTTGTCACAAATTATTTATGTGCATATACACACGCATAGAAATAGGAATGGGTGCTGAAAAGTTCTCGGCTCAATTAAGAATTTATTAAAAACACCTATTCGCTTGGTCAAATAAATTTTGGAAAGTGGGTCGGGCCAAGAACTTTTCAGCATCACCTCATAATTATTAAATTGACTTCACGATGGTAAATCAAGGATTGGTCTTTTTACTTTTATGGGAAACTAAATAAAAACTTGAAAATAATGATGAAAACTAAAAGTGTAACTGAATTCGGTTGAATGGATATCGATCACGTGATTTAGCAAAGGCCAAGCGATTTTTAACCTAAAACAAGTTAGAACCAGGAACATAAATAAATATTATTATCTGTTTTTGTTTGTACAAGGATGGGCTTGAACAATTTATAATATAATTTTCTCTTTTTTTAAGTTGGCAACCGACAATTCTTGTAAATTTTCCGAGATGAAGATGTTTATATTTTATTTTAGTTTTTTAGCTACATAATCTATAAAAGAAAAAATGTTTTCTTTTTTTAGTTTTATTTTAATCAAACAAAAAATTAAAATAATTATTTTAAATATAATAATAAAAAGTTAAAAACTCTGTTCTTCTGTCTTCTACTGACATCAGAATATGAGTGTCTGAACATTTGAACAAGTAACTTCTTTTTTTTTACTGACTTGTCTAAAGTCAGCAATTATTGATCATAAAAGATAAATTTACTTATGGAAAATATATATTTACGCCATTATGAGTCACTCTGACTGAACGAACATTTAAAACAGTTAAAAAGTCAAAGGTAGATAAATATTTTATACTGCTAAGATTTAATAATAACCTAGAAAGTACACCTTAACAAAATTTGTTTTTATCACAAAAACAAGTGTCCAAGTTTACTACACACGACAATCACAATATTTGTTCTACTACAGTTCAATTTTTATCATCTTCCTTAACTCTGAAGGTATTTTTTTTACAATCTTTAATATTAACTTATTACAAACATTAGTATATGATTACATTTCATAACCATTTAAAAAAAGATTATCTCCAAAGAACTAGAAAATATCTAAGTTATTTTTAAGGGCCATCATCAAAAAATCAGCTGATTTTATAAAATACACCAACAATGTCCTTTTTGTTAAACTAATAAACAAACCAGCTTCAATAATTTACCCCAAACAAAGCTTATTATAACTATCAACGACAGTTAAAAGAAGTCAGCAATTAATTATTAAATGATATGTACTAAATAATTCTTAGAGAAAGAAAGAAATGTTTTTACGATAGAAAATATACATACGACACAAAAAAGCTTGAAGCTAGTTGTAATTGCATGTTGAAGGGAAAGAAATAGTTTTATCCAATAAAGATGTCAGGGCAGCCAAGATATTATTAGCTAAGACATTGTAGATGAACATCCCAGCTGTAAAATTGTCTGTCAGTTTTTCGCTTTGTTTTCTCGATTCTCATTCCTTTTGTTGTTATGAATTCGCACGCATAAAGCATTGACCATTGGCATCTAGCTGCCATTTTTTCATAACAATCCTGCACTGAATATCGACAAGTTCCTTGAGAAAAAAAAGTCGCTTTTTTTAAAATTTATGAATAGAAAGAAAAGCGAAAAATATTTATTTAAAATACTAACGATATTTTTAAATTTCCAAAGTTAGGCTTTCATTTTTAGTTTTGTAAATTTTTAAAAAATTTATTAATCAGTTATGAAAAATAAAACCTTTCCGCAGCTAATGGCATAAATTCAAAGCTTAGCGAGAAAAATAGTTTCATTTTTAATAACAAGTATATTTCATTTATCTTTAAAATTGTGTTCTGAAAAATATACGTCAATAAAATAGATTTTCAATTTTATGGTCGTAGGATTAATATTAACATGTTTTTATTATTTATTTATCTATTTTTATTATTGATATTCATCTCCATGATTGCTTTTATTGTGAATTAATTCTCAGCCTTGCCTTGGAGCAATGTTTAGCAAGCTAGCATAAACAATAAATATTGACTTAAAGCCTCACCATGGACCCAAATAATTGTGGCCTTGTGCCAGACTAGGTTTAGTTAATGCCTAGACATCATTTACAAAAATATAAATTATGTGCTATAAATTCAGATTATTATATCCAAAAGTTTTTTTTTAACATATTCATTTTTTTTTAACTTAGGTTCACCCAATGCAAGGCTCAAGGGCTATTCAAGTATTACGTTGTTGTAAGAGAAGGAGAAGGAGGAAGTAAGGAATGGATATTATGAAGATATGTAGGATAGATATTGGTTAAAGCTAGACTTTAAGAGGTTAAGATTGTAGAGGTTAAGGAAGCATGCTCTCAGGAGTTTGTTCCACAAAGTAACAGTTCTGAAGAAGAAGCTGCCTGAGTGGAATTTCTTCTTTACTAACAGAACACAAACGGAATAAGGACAATTTGATACCCTGTATATGGTATGGTGGATCCTAGCTGTAAAGGTCTGAACTGGTGGAATTAAGGTTGGTTGGTTGGCTGATTTTGTTCATTGGCATATTGTTATATACCGTACCTATGAACACTAATGAATATGTCCCAATCCTTATAAATATGTTGGACACTATTGTAACTGGGTGTCAAGTAATAGAGTACAAGGCCCCTATGGTATCTCGGGAGATCTGTTGCCTCTGATGTTGCCCTCTGAGGGCGGTCTGGGCATGCCTAGCATTGATTCATCAATATATGCTTCGCATTGCCTTTCTAGACCGAATGTGTCACGAATCAGATGAGGAGGGCGCCTTCTGGAAGGAAGACGTCTGTAGAAACTTCACATCCCTGAGAAGTGTGCACTCGTGCGAGGTGGAGGCCAGCCGTACACCCTGAGCCGAATGCTCCTTCTACCGCAAATGTCGTCAGCTCTGAAACACCTCTTACAGGTGTTGGATGGCCTCTCCAACGCCCGGGTATTGTCTCGTAAGGTATTGTATCAACTGTTAGTCAGGGGGGGCCGTTCAGGATGATCTAATTGACAAGCTCAGTCTTACGAAGCAGGAGGCTCGCTCAATATGGCCTTGGGCGCCTGGGTTGAAATGCCTCAATATTGATGAGGCATCACTCACCTGGCTGGTGATTTGTGGGGCCCTCTGAGTTGCGAAAAGACTTTGTTCAGCTGGCCTGAAATATCCAAACTGCCGTCGCTGTGTTGGGGAAGTTGAGACCATTGGTCATGGCTTCTTTCAGTGCAGGGTGGTAGTGCTGTTGTGTAAGTTTGTTGAGGGTCTCATGGTCCACATGCTGCGGAGAAAGTTCTTTGTGCTTGAGGCCAGTTCTGTTTGTAGCAATGTGGTGCTGCAGATGATGAAGGCTGAACACTATGTGTTCTTTTGCTTATTAGGTGTTATGAAAGTCGTGATTTGGACGATGCGTCAGAAGGTATTCTATGATGGCGAGAAGTCCACTTCTTCCCAACTGATCTTGTACTTTAAGCATCAGCTTTAAGTCAAAATTAGGACGGACTCCTCTCATCAGAATTTAGCAAAAGGTGGGTGAATCTTGTGCACTTGTGCCGAGTAAAAGGGGCTGACCTGGAGTAAGAAGTATTCTTCCTCCTCCTCTTCCTCCTCCACCTCCACAAAATCTCATCACCCTGCACTTTTTGTAAGTTTTTTATTTCAGTAATTTTTAATGGTAGGCTTCAATCCTCATCTTTATTGCTATGATCATGCTATTTTGGTCACTGTATTCTTTGAACATGTCCTACTGTATGCTATACAAAGTCACAATATTTTTTTTTTTAATTAACCCTATTCTGGGCAGGTTATTCTGGAGTTATAAAAGGCAGTTGGGGTGCTTTTTTTGTCTGCCAACTTTAAAATGCCTGCATGCTCCAAATAATAACTAAATTGTTTGAAACTTTGTAGGTTTATTCTTTTTCCTTTTATCTTTTATTTCAAATTTTTATCATCATTTTGTTACTGTGATCATGCTATTTTGGTTTGGTTTGTTTTACAGCATGTCAACACTTCAATGGGTTATTTAATGCCAAAAATTTTTATTGCTAGTAATATTTTTTTCCAAAAAAGTATTGCTGATAATATTTTTTTTTCCTTCAAAAATCTATTTCTGGTAATATTTTTTTCAAAAAAATGTATAGCTAGTAATAATATTTTCCTTTAAAAAATTATTGCTGGTAATAATTTTTTTACAAAGTATTTCTGGTATTAAAACCTATTTTTACACTTTCATAGTGTTTTGACCCCAGTTCGGTGGTTAACTATTTACCCATAGCTGGGACCCTAACATGTGCTACCACTCTGGGTGAGGGTGGACCTGGGAACACCAGCAATTAAGAGGTGGTTCCACGCTCCACAAAACCTCCTGATCAGAGTACTTCCTGTAGTAATTTATTGTCTTAGGCAGGATGCAGATGTAGTTTATCATCTTACCCTGGACAGTGCTATTTTGGTCACTGTATTGGAACTAGTGGCATCATTAAACATGATAGTTTGAAATGTAGATAAGCCTAATGCTTCAAATGCAATGCAAAGAATTCATGCTGAATGTATTTTGAAATATTTGTGTAATGAAGTCTGGTATTGGAAAGCTAAAGTAAGACTATATGTAATTTTGTAAAATTACAAAAATCCTAACAGCAGCAAAAATATGCTGATGTCATCAATTATGAAGCAAAGGCATATTCACTATACTTACAATTACATTTAGAATAACTCAACAAATATTTTTCCAACAGACTCTTTTTAGAAATGTATCTGGAGTTTCAAATTAATACCTCGACCATAAAAAGAGTAGTATCAAATGAAGATTGTGCACAGACAAATACCCCCACCCCCACCCCAAACATAGGATAGGGTCAGGAATTAATCAAAATATACAAGCCAATATTCAGAAAAAAATTTGGATAATATAGGTGTGTAAATATATCATGGTTGGTAATACCTGAGCATTTGCTCAGTTCTATAACCAAGACATGTTCTCAATATTGAAGAAGGCTCATTCAGATTGTCATCTAAGACTATATATATTAATTCATTCCAGCTCTCCCTCTGTAAGCAGAAGGAGTAGCTTTTAAGTCTTAATGTCATCACCCCTTTGATGGTTGTATATTTAATATATATATATATATATATATATATATAACATTCTGGATTTGGTGCTTTCTATTTTATTTCCTATGCACATTTTTCCATTTTTCTTGGTAGACCTTTGACAAGGGAGGAATGAAAACTGGTTAAGCTTTTATCTTTTTCTTTCTTAACTTTTTTTTTGTTTTTTGACCTACTTCTTTATGGTATCTATAAACTTTTTGTTAATCTTTCTTATTTGACTTTAACATTTAGTACCCTGCATCATTTATAAATATTACTTCCTCTTTTACTGTATATGGAATACCCTCAAAATATACTGTTTTATATATTAGTTCTATATGTTTGAAATTGCAGTAGCCTGTATTTCAATTTCAGCCAAGATTGTTTTAGGTGTTGCCATAGAAGGATATAACTACACAACCAAAAAATTCAAATTCAACTTGCACTGGCAGGACTAACATTTTGCTTGGTGAAAATAGTCACCTAAAGAGTGCTAAAGGTTTTAATATATCCATTTTCATTGCAATTATTAAATTTTGTTACCCCCGCCCTTTAAAATATTTAAATATTTTGTTTTGATTCATTTCCACTATCAAACCCCTACCCATTTATTTTAATGAAATATACCCCCATCTAGAGAAAAAGATGAGGAGGCATGTTGGAGTAATGGATAACAGCTCAGATTGAGGAATTGGAGAACCAGTCAAATTCATTACATTCACTTATGTGCTAATACCCTTGGTATGAATCCGCTTCTTCTTCCACCCCCCAGCTCTATAGCCTTGTCTGGCAACTAGTCTAGGATAAGGACAACTCTGAATTCAAAACTGATCCTCCAGGTTGAGGGTTGTGCAGTAGGCTAACAACCTACTCACTTAAAAAAAATAAATAAATAAACTGGCTTGTTACAGAAACCACAACAATATCTTGTGGCTCTATGTTCCCAAGGAATTTAAAGGCAAATATATATATATATATATATATATATATATATATATATATATAAAGAAAAGGCACAAATGATTAACTAGATTTAAGAGACGCCTGAGGAAGACTAAATGCAGTGATCACAATATAATAATCATAATAGAACATCATCATGATATTATTTATTCAAAGCTGGATTTACATATGATCTACAGCCCAGGGAACCCCAAGATTATACACTAGGGGTTGGCAACCCCTGACCCCCAAGCCACATCCGGTCCACGAAGGATTTTTGTCCAGACCACCAATTTAACACCTGGACATTAATTATCTAATTAATTTGTAGAGCAAGTAGCAGAAAAATATCAGTTGGAGTTAATGTGACAAATTTTTGAAATCAAAGTTTCACTCCAAATCCACAGAAACAAGAAATATATTTTGCCAAGCAGAAAATATAAAAGTCTATTGAAGAACATGAAAATGAGGGTATCATTATTTGGAAGTAAAGTGTGTCCCAATAACG